CATGGAAACAGATGGGCAAGGCCTCATCAACCTAGAGGATGTGAAGGCGCGAAACCGAAAGCTTGATAATTGAGAAGCCCATGCATTAACAACTTGCTCTGTCCTCAATCGCACGTCGTGCCACTCGACGACGGGACGAGCTTATCTGAGTGCAAGCTGTGCTGCCGTTCGGCTGTGATGGCTTCGCGATCCAGTCACCACAGCTTCAGTGATAAATTACCACCTCAACCGAGTGAAGCTACTTACAGGGTCCATTTTCCCAAATAATGGTTTCAGATACCAGCCAGAAACTAATCGCTGGAGTTTTCGGCACATCTTCAATACAGATCTTTAACGTTATTGGCGAACTTGGTGTCATTGGTCTCGGCAGTGACATGTGGCGTTTCTGTGGGCTTCGAGCTGAACGATGAAAACTGTACGCCAACCAGAGCAGGTGGCAGCACCTAGACCTAGATTCCACAGACTCTGACCTTGAGCGACCATGTCGTGCCTGTCAGGCTGCATGCTAAATGTGCACCTTTGCTGACTTGCAACTTCTGCTTTAACACCGTAAAGCGATTAGCAACTGCAAGTAAGCCCGAACATTCGGCATTCAAGTTAAAGCCCCATGCTGGGAAACCCCGTCGCGCGCCGTTGCCACGGTAGCTGCAGCCATGGTAAGAAGTGCACCTGGATGCATGGAGGCATCAACATCCCCTAAACGATGAGCTGGGCAAGCGTCAGGATCACCAAACCGGCAAACCGTCCAGCGCCATCCTTCTTCTGTCATTTGTGCTTTTGAGGTACAACTACAGCCCACTTCGCCGCTGCTCTCGTCGTGCGGTCAGAATCTCGAATCTTGTTATGTGTTCTTGCCTGATGTGGCTGTTGCTCAAGGGTTTGCGTCGAGATGCTAACATGCTTGACTAGCGTGTAAGCGAACCATAGTACCAAGTTGAGCAGCCTGGTCATCCAGTTTAAGCATGAGGCACCCAAAAGCCGTCAAGAGAACCAAGACAACCCGCCTCGTTCCGAAATCCCATGCTCTGCCCGCACAGGCTTGGACGAAAGCCTGCGGAGTGCACAGATTCCCGACCGATTTTCCCTAATAACAGGGGAACGGCCATCCACCTTGCATCACCAGCAAGACCTACCACTCCGTGAAGTCAGGACGTAAAGCCATCGTTCTGCCGTCTTCGAGATTGTATGCAAAATTGGTAAAGTTGTCGAGGACATTCCTGCGATGTTGGAGAGCTACGATGCGCACGTGTAGCCGCATCTTAGTGCCTGCCACTGCCTAAGCGAACTCGAGAGCGACATGTCACATGTTGCACGGTGGCAAATGCGGCCCACGGCAAGCGGGGCCTGCAAACCGAGCGAAACCTGCTCGGAACTGCGCCCCCTCTCATCGAGAGGAACGAAGGTACAGAAACTTCCAACAGCGCCAAAGAGCGTCAACAAGCTCTTGGTCGTGGAAAAGCACGACACAATCGCCTGCCGACAACTTGGGCCTTGCAAAGTGTGTGTGTGTGTGTGTGATCAGCCATGCATCTTGGAGCTGTCTCTGGTCTAAGCCCCAAATGATGGTAACACAACGGACGAAAAACTTCCCATGACTGCCTGCCTGGCCAAGGGCGGTGCCGGCTGTGCTGAAGGAAGGACGAACACCTTTCCGTGCCAGTCGAAAACCCTGCTGACCTACTGAGCCTCAAAGTTCTTCCATGGCTTCACCCAATAGTAGGACAAACAAGGGATGTCATGACTATCCGGGCCTCTATAGTACTCAAGATCAGTAGCGGCTCGGAAGTAATACATCTCAGATCCTGAGCCGCTTGAAAGCCTTACTCGTGAAAAACAAAGCAGTACTACTTCGGTGCTACTATTCTCAGTCTTTTGCTTATGGCTATCAGTATGACAAGTACACATCATAATAATTGTCACTGTCAGCGCTTCGGTTGTTACTAGTCTTGCCGTTGCTCAGGCACTAGTTACTGGTGTTACGCTTCCAACCTGGAGAACACCTCATCTCCAACAAAGCCCCAAGGCAGAATTCTCCTCCTGGGCTCGCAAGCTTTCGCAAGCTTGCAGGCCCGGCCTGAGAGCCTTCTATGATCAAGGGTCAGAAATAATGCACTGCATGCAGCTCTTGGAAAGAAATGGGATTTGGCAAAGAGCTCCAAGGTCGCAAGCCTGGCCTGGTTTTGGATCGCCATTGCAGCCACGAGAGAAAAGCTGCGAAAATGCCTAAAAAGTGTACCTCGAGCCGTGAAACGTATGGAAGACGGAAGGATTTGTCTGCTTCTTTCGGGTTCAGCTTTTTCGCATCGATGGCTCGTCGCTCGGGTTCAATCGAGGCTTGGGCTGAGATCTTGGGTCTTAGCTGGTCTCTTGGCATTGAAAGGACGCTGCTCCGCAGCTGTGACGTGTACAAAGAGTCGCCGCTGGCATTTCGGCAGCCAAGGCTGCAGATACCGAAATAGCAGGCTCTACGCAACAGGATACCCATCGTGCGTCGTAGCCATGCAAGGAACCAGGACTCCAGGGAAGCAACGGGAAGTTGGGGCCCTCCCGTTCGCCGCGGAACCGAACAACCCCTACTTAGAGGAACACGGGACTCAGGAAGCAAGGTTAGAAGAACCTTTCAGTGGGGATTTAAGACTAGCCCGAACTACGATTATGCAACTTGCAATCCTACTTGCTGAATCCGATGCGACCACCGAGTAAGAACTACTGTACCTACTGCTGTAAAGCGTTAGAGGGATGGGTTGCGCATCGCCAGTCGCAAAGGGCGCAGGTTTTTCATCCTTGGAAGCGCGGAAGTCAGGCACTGGCTCAAAGCGCTCAGGAAGCGCATGTCAGGCCAGCTCCAAGGAGGCTTGGTTGATACCTTGAAAGGATGCTGTGAAAGCGGACTGGACTGGGCTTTTGATTCGACAGTTGTTCATACATTTCCGCTGCGTTGCAAATATTAAGATGCAGGTCGGAGGGTTGGGGCAGCTTCAAAGCAAATGGCAACTTGGAAAAACCCTCCTACTTGATAACCTGCAGCCATAAGGAGAAACCGAGAAACCTGTAGCAGACTAGCTTCAAACTGAGATGTGTGATGACTGAACCCGACCTTGCCGAACCTGCAGCGCCTTCTGAGCCGCCGGGCCGAAGTACCCCCATTCTTTCGGCCGCTTCATGTCCACCTGCCCGTGATCCAAAAATTTTCGGAGTGTGGGCCGTGTGGGCTGACCAGGGCAGAGCCTTCACCTGCATGCTGTGTCTCGGCCGGTCGAAGATCATGTCCTCATCCGCAATCTTGCAGATTCTTACTTGTTGGACTCATCGATTTCGGGGTAAGAGGCCGGGAAACCTCTTGCACATGCGGCCTCGATGCTATGTTTCCCATGTTGAAGTGCGCATTTCAATCGCGTCAGCCTCATGCAATCTTTTTGGTAGGGCACTGATAACACGTGTCGAGTAAATGCACGTCGCATGTCTCATGGTCTTGGCGAAGTTGGGGTTTAGTCCTCCTGGAACGAGACTCCGCCCTCTTTCGACTTGTGCCACGGGACGACCTGGCCACTTTCAGCTAGGCCTTTCTCTAACCTGAAGTTGTCTGCATGGCGGACGCTTCATGCCGACAGGAACAGCAGAGTTGCAAGGCAGTTCAGCTCTGTTGCAGGAGCTCGGCCGGAAGCCAGCTCTCTTGTTTCCTCAAGCGTCCACAAATGGCTTGTGCACATGCTGCAAGGGCTGGAAGACCACGTCCCATGCTGCGTCCTTCCGAAGTGGATCAGGCAAAGGGAAAAGGGCACCGAAAAGCTCTGACTGCATGATGGAAACCCCCGCAACTCTTGTGTGTTCAGCGACCTGGCCATGCAAGACCAAGACTGTCCTCTTAACAAAAAACTAGGAGTGGATACCTGTACCTGGCTCCGTGTAAGCCTGGTTCATCTCTCTCTCACAGACACGGCACCAACTTCACCCTAAACCCTAACATCCACATCCTAGAATTGCTGGCCTGAAAGGCTCGAAGAAATCGACGGCACCAGCTTGGTGGGTACATCCTCGCGGAGAGGTTGGCCAGGAAAGTGTGCTGTCTTCTAGATGTTGTACACCGTCATGGCAAGTGCACTTCTACAAGTAGCATCAGCTTACAACAGTTTTAGGAGCTTTGCTCCTCCCTCTGCGAGCTTGTAAATCGGGGCCTGGATACTTAGTCTAGGAGGGTTTCGACTGGTACTTATGCAGGTGCCTGTGCTAACCGCATTCCACTCCCCACTACTGAAACGTTTCTGGCCGACGTTTTCGGGGACACAGCGCCTGAGCTCAAGCGACAGGCTGGAGCCCAGCCTGAACCGAATCTCGACCAAACATTCTTTCGCCCTTATGCCTAATGCACTCACGCCCCAAAGATTGAATGGTGTTGGTGTTGACACCCTAAACCCTCACTGGAACCTGGCAACGCAAGCCGGACTCGAAGCCGAGCCACTGGTAGGACATTCGCAAATGAACGCACCAACGCTGAGAATGCTCTTCCTGGAACAGATCCGTCATGGTTACGGCACAACACGAAACCGAAGCCCTTCAGATCCCCAACTGCCAAGCTTACGACAGTTTTCAACTCCGTGTTGACAGTTTTGGCGCCCAGGAAGCTCTTCTTAGACTCTTCGGGTCCCGAGGCAAACGGTTCTGTTTTGTGCCTCGATTGCTGGGAGTGGTATCAAGCTCGTCTGGTTAGTTGTGTTTTCGATTGCGAGTGCATGGCTTGTCCTAGATCAAACCGTCTTTGTCGGAGCACTCAGGGGCCTATTCAGGCGTCTATATAAATTCTGGGCATCAATGTCGACCCCTACGTATCCGTCGCGGCCAGCTTCTTGCAAACTCACCTCTCTCGTGTGACACTGCTGGCCCGGGTTTGGGGGCTTCAACATCAAGCTTTGCACTTCTACCCCTCTGGGCTTCCTGTCTTCAGAGCTGCTGGGGGCTATCATCGATGATCTAAGAACCGAAGAAGCCCGACACCCGGCAGCTCAAAGCCTGATGACCTGGCACTTACGCCTCGGAGCAGAAATACCAACTCCCAGTGGGATGTGCAGAAAAACAGAGTTCCACCCATTTACATTTGCATATCTGATCCGCAGCCACAGAACTTGTACAGTGAAGGGGCAATCCCTCCGCCGAGAGGCAACAATATCAAACTGCAGCGGTTGATACAACCATTCCCATTGGCCTTTGGCTGACTTGCCACGGGCTTCACAAAACACTCCAACACCCGTGAATTGATATCCTTGCAACCTGTTAGGACTTTTTTGGGTTCATACCTTAACCAAGAGTGTTTGGATTCTGTGGAAGCAGTGTCGTGGACAACTTGCTACCAAGATACATGTCCGAACAAATGTCAATAGTGGTCCCTGGAAGTCCCTACATAATTCTGGTATAAAGCTCATGTGCCACCAAAACCTGCCCTAATCAGAAATGTCCCAGTATTGGGGCTTCTGTTGAAACGTCCAGAATAGGCTTCATCCTCGTGCTCGGCAGCCGCCGGTACCAGGCTTCCTACTTAGCTCACTCTTCCGACACTCTGAAGTTCAAGAACTGAAAGACAGAAAAGCCCGCGAGGGCTCAGATGCTCAACCCCCGGCTGAAAAGCAAGGGAAAGATCGCTTTGCGCGAAGAGTCCCGAAAATCAGTGCAATCGGCAGGTAGAGGCTCGATCTCTATTCCTCACTCACAACACGGAGCACTGTGCCAATGCAAGACCACATACTCCAAAACGTAAAACCTGTCAGCAACGTCCGCGATCAATGAGTGCGTGAGTTCAACTTTGCTGAACTATGCCTTTTTCATCATCTTTAGAACACCCATGCCCAGGTCTCGGATTGGTCTGTTGCCGAAATTTTGAAGTCGGTCATATGCGTAGATCCGGAACCTTGAGATACCTGGCCTGCTCCAAACTCCATGCCAGAAACCCCCGAACCCCACATCCTAGTCCTGTCAGCCCCGAACCCCTAAAGACTCTGAAAAAAGAAGCCCTGACGGACTCTTCGGTGCCCGCTGAAGTGCTCCACGCGGATACCTGTCTTCCCGACCTCCAGAAGGCCTCTGGGACCTCCGCAGGCGTGGAGCCGAAAGCCTAGGTCTACATGAGGTACCCCGAATCTTCAGAAGCGCTACCAGCTTGGCCTGTCGGAAGCCTCCGTCGTGGCGGCGCGAGTCGCGAAGATCGAAGTTCACAACCGTCCTCTCACCTTTGCCTCGCTTCGCCACTTCCAGGGAATGTCGTGCACACTGCATCTGCCGTCTGAAACAATGCAAGGGGCCTTTACTGCCTGCTGTTGGGGATAGCCATGAGTCTCATAAGCTAAGCCATGACAGGGACAGGTGATCGCCGAATACCTGCTGAAGAACTTTCGTTAGGCAGCCTCAGCTTGCTGACCGGGTAGACAGCCCAACATGTCCGCAAACAAGGCAAGCTTCGGACAGCATCGAACACCGACCACCGCCGCAGCCGCAGGATGTCGGCCACATCCAGCAGAACACCAAGTATCCTTGAGCCAAAGTGTAACGCAGGGGCCGGAACAGTTGGAATCAGGCACTGCATGGCATCATGTAGGTGCTATAAGGGGACGTCGAGCCTTAATATCAATGGTGTCCAGGAAGGATCCGGGGCAGAGCTTCGGGGTTTCCATGTTGCCCGGGCACGTGGCATCCTCGAGATGTGTGGGAACACAGATGTCGCGCCAATCTGCGAAGAGCCCCACCATGCCTCGATCTGGACTTGGAGATTGGCTGGCAAAGCTTTGCTTGCGCTATCCCGGCAGTTAGAAGCAAAAGCATCCCAGGCAAGGGAGTCGCAAGGCTCAGTGCATCTGTACTATCTTTTGCCGGGCTCACTGCTTTACTTGCAAAGCTCTGTAACAGAAAACTTGTACTCCAGCGGTACCTTTCATTGGCAAAGCTTCAAGCCCAACCAACACTCAAGTTCACTGAAGTCCACTTCCATCTGTACGAAATGTGGGACTCCCCAGCACAAAAGACCATGCAGCCCTCAAGAGAACCGATTTTTCTAAGTCTACCCTGGTGAGATGACCTCCGAAGCCGGCCTGCTTCTAAGCCATCCCGCATCGGTACCTCGGTTCGCTTATAAGGAGTTCGGACTTTGGGTTTGAAGCGAGTCGAAATGCAAAGGAGCAAGCCTTGATCGTGATAGCACGAGAGTTACTTGTATTGGACCCATCAAAGTTTGGGCTCGAGCTTTGTAGTCGAAGCCCCTAACGGCTACCATGACACCGCTTCGTGTCCGAGACAACGCTGACAAAAGCACTCAGCAATGTCTGTACCGTTGCCTGGCTGCGTACAAAGTCATTTCCACATCGCCAGAGCAGGACGCCCTGGCATTCGCCACGACGACGATGGCCAGAAGAAGGTAGTTCCTGGATGGCACTGGGGTCACAGGGCAGAACGTACTCAGGTTTTCATGCCATGCTTGCTGCTGCCATGCTGTTTCACGCAGCACTCAGAGCATTCAGCGGTTGGGGGCTTTTCTCCAAGCTCGCTCTTGCTCAAGAGGGTCCCCAGCCTCAGGGACTGACAAGTACCTCGAACTCAGCTCGAGACTGGGGAATGTAAGGGCTCCCGAAACAGGGAAACTCAATATTTTTGGTGGACTGTCAGGATACTTGCAAGATCTCAGCTTGGCTGCAAAACCGGCTAACTCAGTCTTCAAACGCTGCCATACCCAAAGACTCCAAAACCCCTTGATTAAGGAATCTTAAGTCAATACTGGACCTCCACAGCTTACGGTACTTAAAGGGCTGAATTAATGGCTTTGTGGAGCCTCTGGGCAAGCAGTCCAAGGCCAAAGCAATCTCATGGTACACCATTGCAGATGCAGTGGAAAAATGCCGTGCAACGGAGGGAGGAAAAACACCAACAATGAGGTCATTCAAGGCTTTGTGGGATTTTGTGGTTGTCTTGCACCGGCTGTATCGTTACATCAGATTTGACAGCATGGCAGGAAGAGGTCCTGCCCCTGAGATTTCTCAAAATGAAACCCCAATGCCTAACCCTTCATAGCAGTCGAGTTTAGGGCTTGAGCTTACCAACCATAGCTGGAGAGCACACAACACGGTGCTGTACCCTTAAAGTGGCATCTGACGGCCGGTAGTCGCCTTCTGACAACCAACGCCGGATCATTGACATCGCACAGGCAGCACCCCCTCACCCACCGCCTACCAAATACGAGCAGAGCGTTCTACAAGTCCCGTTATCCGCTCTTACAGTAACCAGGCAGCAACTCACCTTGAGAACACGGCCCAAAATAATCGAATAGATCGTGGGCTTCTCCGCTCAGAATAAGGAAACTTCTTTGCCTTGAAGCGCAGTATGCCAGTATGCATTACCGATACACTGGGCTGCAGTTTGCTTCTCTGCCATGGTTCATGGTGGTATCGCCACAGCAGCCCACTTCAAGACAAAGAAAGCTTCGGTTCTGGCTCGACTACTCGACTCTTAAGACATGTCTGTGTCACAATTCCAGACCATGTCTACTTGAATGCCACGGCTGAACGCCGACGTGCGGAGTTTGCCGTGGCGATACACGACTGTAGGAGTGACCGGGAGAAGCCCGTGTCTTCGTCCTTCAAAAAGACTGCTTTAATAAAGCAGACGCAAAACATCAAGAGAGCTCCTTGGTCATGCAGTTGTCCGTGTGCCAGATGATGCCACTTAGTAGTAGTAGTAGTAGTAGTAGCAGTAGCAGTAGTAGTAGTAGTAGTAGTAGTAGTAGTAAAAGTAGTAGTAAAAGTAGTAGTAGTAGTAGTAGTTGTTGTTGTTGTAATTGTTGTAGTTGTAGTAGTAGCAGTAGTAGTAGTAGTAGTAGCAGTTGTTGTTGTTGTGTCCTTCTTCGGTTTCACCGAGTGTCTGCTAAGTCCAGCGCCCGCTATGCGCAGAGCACGCTCGCGCAGCGTTCAATTGAAAATTGTTGTTGTTGTTATTGTTGTTGTTGTTGTTCAAGATGTAACACTTCTGGCACACTTCCCTGGTACAGTCTTGCAGCTGTGACCTGCACTTCCACACTTCGCG